TTGTACGAAACTTAATATGATCACTCCAGTGTAACTAAGCAGGCTATCATGATTATCATTTTTTGTCATTGTATGACCAGTTTTTGTATCAATCTGATTCTTCTAAGAACAGCCTGATGTAATCGTTTATATCAATTGTGGAAGTTTTTTCAGTAAATTGTTAAGCTATTTTGTTGTCTTTAGATGCTATTTCATAACACACCAGGATATATGTTTACTCATAAAATGTTCCGTAAAGAATGTGACGAAAATTAGGAGAATTGCTTAGTCAGGACAATAAAATGGCATTGTCTGGGATGACTGGTAGCAGGACAAGGAAATGGCATTTGTAGGGGAATTACATATAACAGAACAATGAAATGGTATTTGTAGGGGAATGACTGATTACAGAACAGTGAAATGGCATTTGTAGGGGAATGACTGATTACAGACCAGTGAAATGGCATTTGTAGGGGAATGACTTATTGCAGAGCAAGGAAATGCAGAGCAAGGAAATGGCATTTGTAGGGCAATGACTGATTACAGACCAGTGAAATGGCATTTGTAGGGCAATGACTGAATACAGAACAGTGAAATGGCATTTGTAGGGGAATGACTGATTACAGACCAGTGAAATGGCATTTGTAGGGGAATGACTTATTGCAGAGCAAGGAAATGGCATTTGTAGAGCAATGACTGATTACAGACCAGTGAAATGGCATTTGTAGGGGAATGACTTATTGCAGAGCAGTGAAATGGCAGGAAATGGCAGTGAAATGGCAATTTGTAGAGCAAGGAAATGGCATTTGTACTGAATACAGAACAGTGAAATTGACTGATTACAGACAGTGAAATGGCAGTGAAATGGCATTTGTAGCAATGACTGATTACAGGGAATGAAATGGCACTGATTACAGACCAGTGAAATGGCAGTGAAATGGCATTTGTAGGGCAATAGAATACAGAACAGTGAAATGGCATTTGTAGGGGAATGACTGATTACAGACCAGTGAAATGGCATTTGTAGGGGAATGACTTATTGCAGAGCAAGGAAATGGCATTTGTAGAGCAATGACTGATTACAGACCAGTGAAATGGCATTTGTAGGGGAATGACTTATTGCAGACCAGTGAAATGGCATTTGTAGGGGAATGACTGATTACAGACCAGTGAAATGGCAATTGTAGGGCAATGACTTATTGCAGAGCAAGGAAATGGCATTTGTAGGGCAATGACTGAATACAGAACAGTGAAATGGCATTTGTAGGGGAATGACTGATTACAGACCAGTGAAATGGCATTTGTAGGGGAATGACTTATTGCAGAGCAAGGAAATGGCATTTGTAGAGCAATGACTGATTACAGACCAGTGAAATGGCAATTGTAGGGCGATGACTTATTGCAGACCAGTGAAATGGCATTTGTAGGGCAATGACTGATTACAGACCAGTGAAATGGCATTTGTAGGGGAATGACTGATTAAAGAACAATGAAATGGCATTTGTAGGGGAATGACTGATTACAAACCAGTGAAATGGCATTTGTAGGGGAATGACTGATTACAGACCAGTGAAATGGTATTTGTAGGGCAATGACTGATTACAGACCAGTGAAATGGCATTTGTAGGGGAATGACTGATTACAGACCAGTGAAATGGCATTTGTAGGGGAATGACTGATTACAGACCAGTGAAATGGCATTTGTAGGGGAATGACTGATTAAAGAACAATGAAATGGCATTTGTAGGGGAATGGCATATTGCACAACAATGAAATGGCATTTGTAAGCACTTTTATTGAGTTGCTACAATCGTAGGTTTGATTGTAAACATTGTTTTACTTATTGGGGATAAGTATGATAAATATCATTAACAGGCTTAATACTACATGTACATAAGTAGCTGACATTGTATGCAAATCATCATCACAATAGTTGCTGTTTTCTCATGTACAGTACAAAATGTACCAGTCTGAAATCATAACACAGTTAATGAGATTTTCATATTATATTTGACTTTGAAACCAAAATGTCATCACTAACATGAAGAGTCATGCTGAGTATATTAAAGCAATTTTTTTTGTATGGATATGAATTATAACAAAGCTTATGTTCTGTCGGTATAATGGTACAAAGTCTCTCCTGAAGAGATAATATGATGATTAGAATTATGTATTGCAAATGATATGTTATAGCTGAAAGGCTAGCAATCACTTGTATTGTGACCTTAACAGAATTAACTCTTTCTTAACATACTTATGGCCAGATAATGTTTGCCATTTCCAAATAAAAATACATGTAAGCACATACAGAAACATTTTATAAAACCAAAGGATGAACCATTTAAAAGAGTGCAACTAAAAGCAACAGAAAGATGACAGATTGATTAAGATTTTTGCATAACTTGCACTGCGGATTCTAAATATGGTCATACTTTTAAACTTTTCCTTTTTTAAAGGAACGCTTTAGATTTTCAAAAATCCTGGATATTAAGATGAATATTGACAATAAAAATTCATTGTACCTAATTGTTTTGAAAAATCTTAATTTGCTCACAAAAAAAGTTGCTTAATTTTTAAAGTATTAATCTGTCATAATATAAATAGATCAAGCAACAGCGAGGTTTGTTAGTTTATATTACAGTTATTGTAAATGTTTAAGGATTACTTACTCAAAACCTATAAACGACTGTGGTAGCTAGCTGTAAGCTGTAATAGATAGCCCCAGATGGTGAGGAAACTGGCACTAAGCCAACATAAATTGGGCAATACCTCAGGTTTAGAACATTTCCTTATACTGGTAATCATTTCATTAATGCTAGCATTCATATCAACTCTTTAATATGTCTGTCTATAGCTACATCATTTAAAATTCCTGTAAATTGTCTACATGCAAATAAATTCATACATAATGGTATGTGTTCAACAATATTTTCAAGTAAAACTTTATTAGTTCTGTTACTGGCACTTCCATAAAAACTGATAACAAAAAGCCCTGTTTGCCTTTAATTGTTGGAGTTTTACTAAGAAGCAACCATTTTTGTGATGCAGCGCTACAAGCATGATACATGATTAACCCAATTCAGCAGCGCAATTTTTCTGGAGTTTTCTCACCTAAGCAGATTTTTAAGATAACTTGAATTCAGCATTTTTGTCTTTTCATTTTTTTCCTCTCACTTTTCAGACTCAAAATTCTAAGGCTTTCACATTTTTTCATGTAAAATTGCTCTACTTTATAAAGGTCAATGGTTCTGCAATCACATGTTTAAGCATTTAAGTTTTAATTTGGCTACATAATTGTATTGTCAAACCTTAGTGTATAATTCTATGGAATTAAGAGGGATAGTAGTTAAACCGTTTTATCGCACATTGGTGAAGTTATTGATAATTCACCATGTTTAAGGTTTCATTGCTTAAAGTGATTTGACCAAATTCTTTACTGGTTGGATCTATAATATACACACAAGTATGAGTTGTTTTTTATTCTGATGACATTCTGTCAATGGCCCAAACTTTATGGTTAAGGCGTCATAATTTCATATTTACTGAGAGTGTACGATGGTTTCTCAGCTCGATCAACAATCACCCTGACAATATCCTTAAAACAGCGCAAATAAAAAACGCCTACAAAAACCTGAAAAACAAGCATTTTTTCAGTACCTCCCACCCCACAGGTATATACATTGCAGAATAAACTTAATTATTCTGATGTTCTATCAGGTTTTTTTATATCTGTCAAAAGTAGATGAATTTGATAAATGTTAGAATAATTTAGAATAATTCTAGAAATGAAACAAGGAGAAAATAAACTGTATTGCCATACAGTCTGTTCTCATAATAGGTGTTTTAATAATGGAGGTAGAAAACTGTGCTGATCAATATTATTTTATCTTTAAATAATACCTTTTCTATGTTAAATTCATGACTTTATTATATATAATGCACTAATTAGATTTTTAATCTAAATAAAGATTGATTTTGACAGGGTCAGTATGTGTATCATTAGGTTTACATAATTAAGGTGATATTCCTCCTGGATGCCTTGAATTGATTCAGTGGTTGTCTGAGATACATATATTTTATCAGCCAACATTTGTAATACTAGCAGTACAATTTCTTTCAAAGTCTGTGCAATGACTTTTTACAGATTTCAGTCATATTGTTGAATCAAGACATTTAAGTGCAGGTATGATAGCATAGGAGTATAATATACCACTTCAAATCAAATAGTACAATTCGCATCATGCTTACATGATTTAAATGTCTAGAGCTTTTTGATAGAGGAATACAAGGACTGGAGATTCAGTGGGAAGCATTTAAAGTTTGCATGGACTATCAGGCTTTTCTATTTCATTTCTTTTATAGATGAAAATTAATTAATTGAATTTATTGTACTGTATTAAAGCCAGCTTCTTTTCAGTGATGTAGAAAAATTGGCAGTGAGCCAACAACTTCTTTTTATTACTCTATATGCTTGAGATAACAGATATGACTGCATAGAATATTTGCCAATATAAAAACTTGGCAGACTGCCAGCAGACTGCAAGAGCACGCCTAATTAAATGTACAGATACAACAGACATTTTAGAGTCCTATAAGGGTTAGTAAAATTTGAGAGGATAGAATAAACATATTACATCAGTTAGGTAACTGAGACGGTTTTCATCTTTAATTTGTTTCACATGTATGTGATCTGATGTCTGATAATTTTTCATGTTGTTTTCATTGACATTGCAGCATGATGAATTATGTATGGTAATGCACTTAAGATCTTTTTGGAGGGTTGGAGTAGATGTTATGTGTTGGTGATTGTATGTAAAGCATTCAGCAGGTTATAGAAAGTCTTTTTGCATGTGAAACAAACTCCAAGTATATTTAGGTAGTGACATTTACATTGAGGATTGGTTTGATTATCAGACCAATAAGAAGTTGTGTCCTAGGTAATTTTCCTCGCTGAAGTAAATACTTCATATTATTACTGTGCGTTTCTCATTTCTCTATCTTGTTTATTTTGTCTTTGTCAGGTACAAAATGTCTGAATAGTGAGTTCTCGTTCCTACATTGGGCAACACAGACTGGTCAACTCAAGATCATCCAAAGTTCAACACAGACTGGTCAACATAAGATCATTACAAGGACAACACAGGGTCATCAAAGGCTGTTCTAATATTTGTCTGGTCTGTTTTCTGTAGGATAAGATCCTAATGAACAGAAACAATATACAGGTAACTTTCCAGAATTTTTATAGTAAGAATGCATTAGATGTTGTCTTAGTTATCCCTGTTTTTTTAACTTTGAAGAGATCACCTTCAAATTACTAGCATGTTCTCAATGAAAAACCTGTTCAATTTTTGGGACAGAGATATTGCCTTTCATTTGGAGGGCTCTCTGTACATATCCTGTACACAAGTTTTCCAGTAATGGGACTCCTTAAAATTTTGAAAATGATGTTCAGAGCTTGATTGCCTGAAATACCTTACACAAATTAGTCACAAAGCAGGATATTGATTACTTGATAAGCTGGGCTTTTAGAAGGTGACAGACTGCAGTAAAGGATGGGTTGATCTTAATATTAGAATCAGTATAGATTTGGTACCAAATATGACCCTGCATACAAAACAAAAGTACCAAGTATTCATGCCTGTAAGTTTTAATCATATACTGACTTCTTGGTTTTTCTTAAATGAAATTGTCTATGCAGACATTGTAATGGGTGACTTGTATAGAGGAAGGTCCAAGAATCAATAACAGTGATGGACCTATAAATAGAACACTCTTTTTTTTGACCTTCATGCTATTTTAATTATCCCCTGTGAAACACAAATAATGCTTGCTAAGGATTGCTTTTCAGGTCTGAAGGTCAAAGGTCACTGTTACTAGGAAAAGGATTTTTTCCCATGATAACTTCAGTGCCCTTTGGCCAATCAACATTATATTTCATACAGTGCTTCCTTACCAAATGTACTTCATTGGGATGACTTTTGAGGTTTGAAGGTCAAAGATCAAGGACAGTGTAACCATTTATAGGAGATTGGTTTTCATAGAATAACTTGAGGTCAAAGGTCATAGTCATGGTAGCTGTATAAAGATTGATTTTGTGTGATTTACTTGAGTTTACTTGGAACAGTAACACAATTTTCTGTAAATAACAATTATTTCCTTGCTTTTACATTTATATTAATATGTATAGGGAATGCTCTTCTTCACATTTCAAATATTCATACATGTACACTGTACATCAAAATTATTGGAAATAAACATTTTTCGTATCTTCAACTGTCTTTTAAAAGTCAGAATTACATCTAATCTGCAAGTTTACTCATCACATCTCAAACAAATGAACAAATTATATAAATACAATGAATACAATGAATATCTATGTCTATTGTTTCATAAATCTCCAGAAACCTTGCTGGGCAGGTGACACATTCACTTACGTGCAATTCTTGTTTATATTTTATGCATTATCGTGGAAACAGCCAAAAAAAAAAAAAAAATCAGTGTTTCCTTTCTGGGCTATAACATCAAAATCATTCCACACGACTCCACAAAACTTTCTGTATATATTAGGTTTGTGTCCTAGTTGTGCATTTTCTTATTTAGGACTTTTCATGTTTTATCTTTTTTTTTCTGTTACCTTCATTTTTTTTATTTCTTGTGACTTCTTGTATTACTCCAGAGCTTATACAGTGTTGCATAAATTTGCTCTATTCAAATATTAACCGTCAAACACACAGGATCTACATAAAGGTATAAACCCTTACTGTAAGGTTGATGTATAAGATAGATATATATAGAATGTTGAAGTTGAGGAGATGCAGGGAAATTTAATTGATAACTGACATTACATTTTTCACTTACGCTTTCACTATATTAGATCTTCAGGTGATAGTAGCGGTACATAATTGGGTGACGTCACAAATTGTTGTACTGGTCTATATATCATATTTGGGTTTTACACCAACAGCTGGGTGGGGGGATAATGCCACCCTTTGCAGCTCCTTGTTGTGATGGTGAATGTTTTCAATATCTGGTCTATAACCCTAGAAACATCTAAGAGATGTTTTATCTTTAAGTAAAAGTTTTATATGAATATCAGCAACTTTATGTCGCATTGTATCTGTTTTTGCTGGTTGGTAATGTTATTTTTGGTTGTGTCAAGATCGTTATGTACAGTGTCATGTTCAATTCTTGACATCATGCTGCAAAGACTTTCTATATATTTTTCAGGCATCATGCAGGTTCATATCAAGAGAGAGCAAAATGATGACAAATATTCAGCTAGTGAAGAAGTATCATCTGCTACACAAAATGCTTACATGTCATCTCAGGATATTGTGGATCAACAAAATAGCTGCCCACCAAACCGACCACCCCCACCGTTGATAGAGGCTTCACAGGTAGCTGCTCTGAACAATCAGTATCTCCAGAATGGCACAGTTGCAAGGCAGATACCAGACAATCAAGAACCTCAGCATGCCAATATTGCTGAACCTGTGAAACAGAAAGTGCCAGAAACACAAATAGATTACCCAAGTTTTAAAGGCATGTTTGGATGGACGACGATTGATGGAGTTAATGTGCCTTATATCTTCAGAAAAGATAGAAAATTTATGTCTGTCAGAGTGGTCGAACAGAAGTTGTTGAGTCGCTACCCAAACTCTTATCCTGATGAACTGGGTAAACACCAGCCTCTTACCAGCTACTTTATCACTACGCACGAGGCAAAGCTCCTCAATGAGATCAACATGGAGCATTGTGGAGGTGAATTTGGCCAAAAAGAATTCAACACCAAAGATTTGATAGTGTTATTGGAAGATTTCAGTGAATTCCACAATCTTGTGAAAAAGACATTCCCAGAACATATTGTGAATGCACCTCCTCAACACCAGATCAACCAGGCAATGGTCCAAGAGAGTAAGAATCAGGGCTGTGGCTGGATACAAGTCAACAATACTGTAACCCCTTACATCAACAAAAACAATGACAAGTATGTCCCACTGTCAGTGATGAGATACGCAGCCTCACTCAATGTTCCTGCACAAGGTATACTTCCAGAGCCAGAGGAATGCAATTTATTGAACAAAGCCTGTAAAGAGGTTGGTTTCAATTTCTCATTTTCAAAGACAACCAGGGTGGTGTCACTTAGTGAGGTCATGAAGCATTTTCCAATAACAGTTATTGACTTACCATCAGACAATCCTTTAGAGTATGCACAATATGTGGATGTGCCTGCCATGAATCAACAACCACTACAATCAATGGCAGACATGCAACAACAGAATGTTATGAGACCTCCTCTTAACCATGCTTATCAAAATCTACAATCAGTCAAAGAGGTAGAACAGGCACAGCACATGCAAGCCCAGATAGCTCCGGACAGGTTCCCACCTCCCACTAGGGGACCAGGCCCACCTGGAGGGATTCACCCAGCCTTCATGGATCCACATTACATGTTTTCATACAACAGATTCCCATACAATGTGTACAATGTGCCAAGTGGTCCCCCTAATGTGACTGTGAATCCCATGTCAAATGGCTTTGGTGGGGGTCAAATGCCTATGCCACCTCCACCCTATCAACATAACCAACAGATGAATGGTCAAGTGAGACCACAGCGGGCTGTAATGGGTCCCCAGAAAGGACCTTCACCATCTCGGAGTTCAAGTGGTCCAATGCCACAGAGACCACCAAGCATTAGTCGGTCCTCATCATCACCATGGCAAGACCAAGCCAGCAAGCAACAGTCTTCCATGGGTCGGGGCAAAATGCCATACTCTCGCTCTTCCAACATATCAAATCAGCATTATAAGTCACAACACCAGCAAGCAATTTCTGCGCAAACAATATCAGCACAGTCATCAGCAGCTAACCAGTCTAGAGTGTTGCCACCAGGAGCACATATGCAATCAAACTTATCAAGACAGTCCCAGCACAGTGGTAAATCCCCAATAGGTCAAAATGGCAATTTGACACAAGGCCAACATATCCCTCCTCCACCTCTCATGTCAGGTCCTCACACTGGACCAATGGGCAGCATCACACGTACCTCTCCTCAGGCTCAATCATGTCCTCCACTAATCACCTCTGCCAACAATGGCCTTCCAAATAGTAGATCAAGACATAGAAGTGGAACATCACCAATGAACCAACAAACAGTTCATGAAAATGGTACCAAGTCTCCTGCATCCCAAGCAGCATCTCCAGTATCAGGAGTGCAGACTGGGCAGGGAAAGACAAGTGAAAACAGTAGTGGAAAGTCAGAAGTGCCTTCTCTGACAGAATGTATCAAAGGAGTGTGGCTAGGTGGCAAAAGCATATCATGTATGCATCTGAATGGACCAAAGCGGACAGGCAAGTTCTGCCTAGTGGAAGCTGTGTGCAAACTTTACTTCAATGGTTGTAGTGTCAATGAGTTTCTTTTTGCATTGGAAAATGTGTTAAATGTTCCCCTTGTGACTTGTACAGATGAAGAGGAAAAGGCATTTATTCATTACTATAGTTTACCTGTTACTGTGTTAAAATGTAACAAAATGATTGATTTTGATGATTTAGAAAAATTCTTCCCACAACTGACATATGTATTTAGGGGTAAGATAGGATCAACAGAACCACACAAGACTTTGTCACAAAATGGTGGTGCTCAAACTCCGTCACCAGAAAAAACAGGCAATGGTGCTACGACTGCTACACATTTTGGAAATCAAAATGGTGACCAAAAAACTTCTATTCAGCAGAGGAAGAGGGCCAACTCCAGTATGCTTCCGAACCAATCCAAACTATCCTGTCGACGTCTTGATGAAGCAGTACGGAAACTCCATAGTCAGAAGATTAATGATAGTGGTGAGTGGTTGCGTCATATTGTTACAGAATCTAATTATTATTAAAAGCTTTTTGATTGAGTACATTTTAATACCACCATCCAAGGGGAGATTGTGGTAAGTTGGAGTTAAATGTAATTATATTTTTTAATATGTATCATGTCTGTCAGTTTCAAGTGTCCAAATTTATAGACAAAATAAGTACTTTTTTAAAGATAAATTCTAGTGTATTCTGCATTGTGCTTAAAAACAGGCATACTAACTAAGCCTCCAAGCAACAGTTGAAATATGTACTTAGATGTAATCCTTGATTTATGTGTACTAATGGGAAATGCAGTTATGGGAAAAAAGTGTTCAATTTATAAATTTGTACACAAAAATAATGTTATATTTGCACCAGTCTTTCTTTTCAATGCATTATCCTCAAAACGACACAGGGAATCGCCCAATTGGTCAGTTGGGTCAAGGGTGGTGTATGCATGCAAATCCAGTTCCACAAAATCAGTGCTGTGCTTCTACGATGCATGCCACTAACCAAATTATGGAGAAATGTTTGATGTAATGCATCCAAAGTCACAGGGGTTGGCTGCTGATGCAGACATCACTCCATTTCATCCTACCCATGCTTGATTGGAGACAACTCTGGCGACTCAGCAGGCCATGTTAGCTTGGTGATGTTCTGCTGCTGTAGATATTCCCTAACAACACATGCAGTATGAGGTTTTGCATTGTCTTGCTGCAAAATAATGTTGCACTGGCTATTACAAAGAAATTGAAGAACATCACGACAGTCAAGTTGCCTTTCATTATAACAAAAGGGGTTCTTTATGACATTGTTATGCCACCCCAGACCATTTTGCACCCTCCATGGAACAGACAATGCTGAATAACACAAATGTCTCTGTAACATCCTCTCAGCTGACAAATGCCAGAACATGAATGTCACTGCTATGAGGATGAAATCTGGACCCAACTGTAAGTAGTATTTCAGACAAGTCTCTGTTAGTGGATTGCAGAGATCTCCTTAACCAAGCTAAATGGGCAACTCAGTGACAGTGAAGCAAAACTGAATGGATAGAGGACATCATGGATGGATATTTGCCTCTTGCAATCTGTTTTGTATGGTTCTGGAACTAATTCTTTTAAGTTCTGAAATGCTTCTAGCAATTAAGAGGACTAAAAGCAATTACACAAATAGGACAACTGGATACACATATCTTGCCAATATGGCATAACACATGATCATCTTGTTTGTGAGTGATCCCCTACTGTGTACATCTGCTGAAAATACCTCCATGAAGCGTTTTTTATATTAAAATGCACCCCAATTTGTCCTGCTACATGTTTCTGAAATGTTCTGAAATGTTCTAGCCTGTAGCATTGTACAAAAATATTCAGTTTCATCCATACATGACCATATTCATGGAAGAACAAAGACTGTCTGAAAGAGAGCCTAGAATACTAACCATAAATGACTTTTGACTGTTCCCTTAGTAGCATTGCCTAGATCTGAAACTGAAAAAAAATATGAAATGACCACTGAAGGCTAACAAAGCAAAGTTTGAAAGTTTTTAGCAATCGAACACATCAAGTAATTTAAAATATGATTTTTGAATTCATAGGTGAGAAAAATATTTTTCTGCAAGCTTACAGTTTCTGTTAACGATCAATGCGTGTAAGTTCTGCATAGAATTGAATTTGTACAATTAATGGATCAAAATGTCACACTCGTAAACAAATTCAGAAAAAATCACAGGGATCAATATGATATGCTCTCTGGCCTGTATATTTTTGTTTTGTTTTGATTTTGGGGGGGGGGGGCACACTTTACTTTAATCAGCATTTGAATTCCACTTATTTAATTTCCAAACAGAATAATAGTCTTCTTATACAGTATTGTTTACTTGCCTCCTTTAGCAATCCATGATAGAGATATTGGTTGTAAATTGAACTAAGTAGTGAATATGGGAGCCGGAGGCTGTGCTCAAGATAGATTAAATATATTTGACACTTATGTCAGTTAGAAGTTATAGTGTTAAAACAGATGTTATCATTTGGAGATGCTGTCTCTGTCTGCAGGGCTTCATTCATATACAAAATTGTCATGGGTGAGATGTGAAACAGATTGAGGGGGAGTCAGGTTAAAAGTGATAAAACATGTCCTAGACTATGTGTTGGTATATGTCTTGTGGTGTACTGGCAGGGTCAATATTTGTCTGCTCTTAAGCCAAGAAAATGTGCTGTGGGCATATTACCTATGCATATTACCTATGTAAATATGGCAGTCAAATATGTGTAATTCTACACAAAAGTTTGAAAAAACAGGAAACTAGTTTATGTCCCACAGCATTTATTTAAATTGATGGGAATTATTGCAATTTGACTTTAAAACAGATTGAATTTTAATTTTGAATTTTTTTACTCATATAATGTTATGCCTGTAACTGGATCTCTAGCCTCTTGTTATATGTATGCTGCATTAGAGGCACAAGCTGTTGAAATATAATGGGGTATTTCATAATAATGTTAAGTAGCTTTCAGGGAAATGTATACTCAGCATCCTCAAGATTTAATCTTTTCTAGTTTAGTTTATCTATTTATCTTTTTAAAAATATATTCATATTATATATATATGTTGAGAAACTTCTGTTAAGGCACATTTCAGTAAACATAAGATTTTGCAGGGAATGTTTTTGTAATAGGCAGCAAAAAGGCAGTAATAAATTGATCACAAGTGGTTTTGATTAGAGTGAATATGGTAAATGTTTTTTTCTGGAAATTTAAGTGGTTTGTTCCTGTGTGTTTTACATGTGTATATGTATACACAACACAGCTAGTTTAAGCTGAAGATGTATAATAGACTGAGTTAAGCAACCAATATAGCATTGATACTGCATACACCTAAAACCACTGACATTTATCAATTATTGAATACTTAAAAGCACTGCAGACATCCAGACACTTTTCTCAACTAATCAGTCTATCAGACTAAAAGCCTCATTTAACTTAATAATATTTCATCAGATTCATTTATATTTATTGAAGATAATCTTGTTTTTTAAATTTTGTGAAGGATTTGTATCGGTGATTTTGTTGTATAATTTAAATTTCAGTTGTGTATCAAACATTCATTGATATTTGGAAGTGAATATTGATATAAATGATATCCTCCACACTGCAAACATGACTACCTGTATATAAAATATTGATGATTTGATATGATGTAGTGTTACAATGTACATTAGTGAAGCATATTGGTCAAAATGTATAAAATGTGTCAAGTATATTAAATCTTCTCTTTGAAACCATAAAGCCTAAAGTCATTCAACTTTTATTGTTTGTTTTAGTTAAATACTCGCTGTTGAATTGTATAGAATGAGATTAATGACTTAAACATTAATTTTCAAGTATTTTATAAACAAGGGTTTGGTGTTAAATATAGCACTATAAAACATTGCCTAGCTCCAATGTAAATTGTCATTTAAATAAAATTTACTTTATCATAAAACCGGATGGAAATTGTACCTCACACTCTTCCTTAAAGTGTAAAATATTACTCAGTGCTCTAATACTTGTACGGCGTTTTGTGTGCTGTGATATTCATAAGGCAGGCAAAAATAGAAATGCATTTGTTTTCTATATGCTAGGACCAAAACAGTTAACTTTAGACAGATCAACAATACTTTGTATTGATATCAAGGGAAAGAATTCTTACATTCATTGTGCTTACTGTCTAATAACAGAAGAAGAAAAATAGACAGGGAAATAGAAAAAAAACATTGCACTTATAGGAGAGTCAGGTTAGCAGAAACACTTTCACATTACAGGAAACTTGAAAATACAAGTTTTAAATCGTCTGCCTTGATCACATCATGTGCTAAGTTCACTTTAAACAACTTAAAATGTACTCGGGGCTGGTAAATTACACTTAAAAAATGCTCTTACTATCCTTCCCCATCATAACATGCAGTATTTATGTACTTCATCAGTAGCTGGTCTTTTTCATATCTCATGTTGCCTCTTATAAATAAATGTAATACAGTATAACTTGCCCAGATATTTTCCAAAGTTTTCCCAATATTTGTGAGAACTGAAATTGTAAACAGAATATTTGTTTTGTTTTGCCTAAGATGCAGTTTATTTCAGTACATGCCTTCAAGAGTAGTAAAATCTTTAGTATATTAATAATTTCCTGTCAGATAAAAGCTATATTTGTGTTAACGTATAAAGATGGGTAGGATGTAGTTTTGAACTATTTTTGGCCTTTTCCTTCCTTACATTTTACTGTCAAAGAAGGGAATAAAGAATGGTTCCATATTCCATAGCTTTCTGAATTATTATGAAATGTTTTCTAGCCTTAGTTTAGAACAAATAGACATAATTTTATGTGTAACACCAATTTAATATATCATTGTAGTCACAAAACCAGAATTGTGAAAAGTATTGTTCAGCTTGTTTTAAATATTTTACCTATAAAAGGTATCGTTTTTGTTTTCTTCTTAAAACATGTGAAAATTTCAAGTAGTGTGATGAGTACTTGTATTTTTTTTTTATATCATTTAAGTTATAAATAATTTTCTGTAAAAAAAAATGTTTTATTTCTTATTTAAAGAGTATAATACCCTGTTTGTAGCAGTATTTAAGTCAGCAATGCAGTATTACACACAAAAAAAGAAAACAAATATGTGAATAATTCTGCATCCTGCAATGTATATATAGATTGTCCGGTTGAATGGACTTCTGTCATTTAAGGGACATGATACTGTATACATGTTAGGTATACAAATGTACATGAAGACCTGCTTACATAATAACTTTGAAATGAAACTACTTAAACCCTGAATCATTATGAGGTAAAGTCACACTTGAAAGTGCATGTATGGAGTAACAGAAACTCATACTCTTTATCGCACCATCTACAATAATACTTCTGCCGTCATGCTTGTATTTTGTAAAGAATTACATACCAGTGCTGGGTAGTATGGATATCTGATACACCTATCAAAAGGATATAAAGATATATGATTGCATGGAAAAAAGGCACAACTTGAAACTTAAATTAACTTATTGAATATTGTGTTGTATTATTTAATCTATGATTGTTACACGTTATACCCTGGTAAGTCAGTTGTTCATTCTGAAAGCAATGAAGCAAGTGAAAATATTGTACAGCTGGTATTTGGCAGATTTAGATAGATTATAGATTCATTGTTTTGATGACAATACACCAATTATATTGAAACATGTTAACTGCCAATAAATCCAGTTGAGATATTCTGACAGATGTTGTCTGGTCATCTATTCTGTTTACTTCAGTTTAAGGAAAGATAATTCAGACTTTCTGAAGACGTTAACTCCTAAACCAGTCTCATTGAGATAAATATTAAGTTACGTTCCACACTGATTATATCTATTGTTAATCTTGTGTTTCAGGTGAAGCAGTCGAGGCTGGTGACCGTGAGACAAGTGGAGGAGCAGTCATTGTACTGGACTAGGTGTTAAAGTCCAAGGCCTCATTATAGCTACCTGTCAGCAGCGACTTTTCGTTATCAATGATAAGAGCTGCAACTTAGTTTGAACAGCGTTTAATTCAACATCTCATGATGCCATAATTACATTGTCCATTGATTATTTATTTTCTTATGTAAGTAATTGAGCTGCTGAATGCTTTTTCTTAAAATATAACCAATAACTCTTTATAATTATACAAGCTAGAGTTAAACTAGATAACAGGAAAATCTAATTTCTTAATAAGGTCATATATATTGAATACCAATGTCTGACATTATATGTAAGTTATCTTTCTGGACAACATCAGCTTTTGTAGCCTTAAGGTTCACTGACCCTGATTTTGTTCTATTAATAATACTATTGTCCTCTACAACTGATATGAACAACCCTAGTGAATGAACAGGTTGTCCTTATAAGGATATACCTGAAAGTTAAATGTTCAGGTGGACTTTATATTCATAATTTGAATTCTTGTTATATATATATATGTTCATCCATTTGTATTATGCTCATGTAAGCAAAATTGAAATAGATTTGTGGGCTCAATACAGAACAGGTTTAGTACAATATTTAGAAAATTATATGATTAGCACCAAAACAACAAATACTATTCTATTTTACTTACATATTGAGCAAAAGGGAGTGAGAAACAGATACAAATTTCACACTATTATGATGCAACATATTGCCAAAATTTAATTATGCATTTGAATTTCAGTCAATTTTGCAATGTCCATCATTGGACCACCATTGAATACAATTACCTGGTACTTATTGTATACCCATGTAAACAATTGCTGAAAATCATCCAAGACAAAATATTATAGTGCTTCCCAGCCAGTGTATACATGATTGACAAACAATAGAGTGCACTGGCTTTGTATTATATTGCTATTTTTTTATTTTATGTTTTTATTTGTTACTTATACTTTATATAGCAAGCTGTAATAATTTTGAAAATTATGCTAAAGTTAGTATTATTTTTCTGCTAACCTTAAGATATTGTACTGATATAATGTATATTATTTGAGTATTTGCTACAGCACTTGTTCAAAAGTGTATTTCTGTATATCAGATAGTGTTGAGTTTTATACAAGCTAGATTTTACACATACATTACAGTATTATGCCTGCTATGTTAGGATTTTGTTATGACAATTGTGTTCCGGTTTTTCTATGGTCTTAAAATTGATGATTTTATTATACTGATGTATCAACACTCCATTCATCTGCAGTTTTACACTTCCATCAACCTGTAGAACAATTTATGAAAGATAATTTGAAACATGAACATAACTGATAAACTAGTGACCTGCACTCAATACAGTGATCAAATTGAGCAAGGTTATAAATTGTAATAAGGGAGACAACTCCAAAACAACTTGTAGTGTTTGTATTGATGACAAACTTGAAAAATAGAATGGAGTAGTGTTTTATAAAATGTTTAAGACAAAGAAGGTTAACATTATTTCACTAAAGACATCTGCCAATAAAGTGACTTATATTCTGGTGACAGGAAATATACAATTTTAGAAATTTCCTGCAATATTATAATTCTGCATATTCCCTTAAAATTTACATGTGTAACAAAAAAAATGTTTCTCATTATTCAAATGTTCTTGTGGATGGTTGGTTTTATATTTTGTTGTGTTCGATTTATGCATTTTGTTTCTACTTTCCTGAAAAAATTCATATCTGTTTAATGGTAACTTAATTTTTAGGCATTACTGATTTTTTGTTACAGTCGGGCATTCTTATCTACTTAACACACTCATGTTCAAAAATTGAATTGAATGACATACATGATACACGGTCTGCACATTTAAGTGAAACACTTTAGCAATCATTGCTAATGCTCTTTAGGTACAATTAATGTAAATGTTATGATACCAAACAATACTGGTTATGAAAGTGGGAAACTAAGGCTGAATTCAATGTGTTTATAGTTTCCTAGCTTCTGCAGTTTATAGTGTAGGGTAATAAATCAGTTTACATAAACTCCCATTGTCAGTAACCTACAGTAAGATAATGCTAAAGTAAAAGGCATATTTTATTCTAGATCTACAAGATAACTTATGCAATTAAAATATTTTCAGAGTGTTATACAAAAAATGAACATAATCTTCACTTTAAACAAATAGCTTACTGTACAGGTGACATTGTTTAAGTTGCATTCTGTCATATTTCTCAATTCAATATAGCTGTACATGTATATTTTTATACAAATTTCTACTTTATAAAGAAGCAACTTTTTAACTAGATGTAAATAAACCTTGTATATTAGATATTCACTTTGATCTTTTCCATTTCTTTTTAATTATTATTATTGAAACATCCTTACATGCCATCCATGAGAATTCTTCCATCAGAAATTGTATTTTGAGTGATATTGTGTGCTAATTTACATACATAGGGCAGTTTGTAAAATCAGTTTTGAGTAATAGATACATACTTTATATATTTTTCCACAGTATTTGATACTTTGCCCTTGTTTCACTCTACATCATCCATGCTGAAATCATTTTTGATAGTTGACTTATCTCTCATTAGTCCAGACATTCATTTCCTTTGTTATTTTATCTGACTTTTCTATACATTAGTTTATAACTGGGCATTACATACCTTTATTGATATTACCCATGCAATCTGATGTCACAAGTCCGTTTCTTTGAAATTTGATAAGGAAACAGCTATCAGTATCATAACTGTAAAGCGAGTATTCAACTTTTTGGTTTTTTTTAATTTTGTTGTGTTTCATTAGAACTTTCTTTTAGATTAGATATAGTGACCTTGTGTGCTAGTGGACAACTTCAGTAACTAGTCTACAGTACTATACGCAAAAATAAGATTCTTTCAGTAATAGTTTTTTTGATATTTAAATGTGAAGAAGTTTACCTTCCTTTCACATACACTCTGTTAAGACTTTTTGATTTTCAACTTATTCTTGACTGGTACTAAACATGTATCAAGTTTGTAATACAAACTGGTAAACAGGAACATGATTAATAGAGAAACTTTGGCAATGCCATGTCGCCAGGTTGATGGTCTTTATTTTTTTGGCAGGATACCCTCACTCTCTCCTCTGCTGTAGTTCTGCTCCCAAAGATTTTTTATATTGTTTTGCAAGTCTTTTTTGTATTGAAGAGTTCAGTTTGTTATATTAATTATACTGATGTGAAAACTTTGACCAAACTCTTTAGAAATCTAGTGTTAGAAACAAAGGATGAATGTGCCATGTATGTTTTATATATTTTTTGTATGCCAGTTGTTGAGGTATTGAATGAAAAATGTACATATCAAAATTATGTGTATGACAGCATTTCATATGTACAAAAATTGAAAAAAGGGAAAATAGAAAATAAAACAATCGCAAAAGCTTTTTGTTCTAATTCATATATACAATAGTTTCTCAACGGTAATCGAGGCAACTGTTTGTTTGTCTCTATAGAATCACCATGGCAACATAAGCATAATTCAAACTCAAATCCATAACAATAGGGCAAACATGAATAAAAGAAAGATTAACACAAAGACTCCTGAAAAAAATACAAGGAGAGCAAGACCAGGTGTTCCAGAAGAGTAAGCATTTTCATGGATGACAGACCTTGGTCAATGCGAGTTTTCAAATGAGAAATAAGATATACAACAATGGAACCAACAGGCAAACTGACGAACATCAAATATGTCCAGCATCATGTCGCACAAAGAAATCCTCAATGAGATCACTGTGGCCACTATAAAACTTCCCCATAATTTTCATCAACCTGCATCTTTTGAACCCATGCATTATGAGTTTGTCAGTCAGTTGAAGACCTCTTGTACGAAAATTGTGATAATAGGAACTGGCCCTTGAATCACCAACAACCCGAGATATTGTTCAGCCAATTAGAATCTACATTGTATTTGATAATTAAGACAAAAGGAAACAATGCAGCCTGTATATACGGATGTACTTTCACAATTCGATGCATTGGAATGAACAGAGGGCCTTGCGTGGCAGCTGGCATCACCAACAGGAGGGTCCATTAACTACATTACAAAAGGACAAAGCACCCCAGGAGAAAATATATAAACGGTAACATAGGCATTAATGCTGGCAATATGAGCGATACTGGTACAAAAAAAAAATAGTCACGATAGAGTCTCTTGCCCACAGGAAAAGTCGTATGGATGAGCAAACTGATAGTTAAGTACACCAAAGTTATTGAATGTAAGCTACTCTGGACTTTCTTAGCTTGAATATACCCCAATGGTGTTTTTCTTAATCTTGTTATCTGTCGTGCTTGTAAAGTACGTGTACCATTTGTCTTGATAACGGAGAGGGTGATTAGCATATATACGTATGGATTGGCTGAGGGTGCCAAGAGCAGTGGGCGAGACACATTCAAAACAGGAGTTGCCAAATAATTGTTGATTGACAGTACAGCTAGATGCAAGTATGGGGATATTGTAAAGACCGGGCGCCAATGTGTCAAGAGGTTACACAGGTACCTGACTTAGCCAGGAGTGGCATCAATTTATTGAGAATACTTGGCAAGTGAGACGTCAGGGTGGGGCAGAAGGGCATAAAATGGGACTTCATGGGACTGTCGAAAGTGTCCTCGACAACAGCTAGAAGTTAAAGAAACAAGCTTCTTCTTGAAATAAATATTAGATACGCTTTCAGTGCCATCTAATTCTTTTACATTGGTCATAAGGACAACACTGCTTGTACTCATTGAGAACAATGGGTCAATTTGCCGCCTTTTATAACTATATGTATATACACACAAGGAATGATTTTGTAAGCGTAATGGCAAGCCTTGACTGCCAGTTAAGACAAGTAAATGATTAAGACTTCAAGGGGGAAGCAGGAGACCGGAAACAGTATTGCACCTCAACTAAATGGTGATTATTTTATTGATGGAAAGCTCCAATGCTGAGATCCAAATCGGGTATCCTACGGTGAATTGCAATCTGGTGTCCTATGGTAAGATTTCAATCCTGTATCCTATAGTAAGGTTCCAATCCGGTATGGGGGGACAGAATTTAAAACGTCTATAGTAGAGTTGGAGGATGTGGTGTCTATCAGTGAATTCATTCCATATTGGTCATTATTACGAACATTGCGACAAGTCATATTCCTATACAGGAGCAGACAGGCAGAAACAGGCAAGGGCAGCTAGCGAGTAGAGAGAAAGCATCCAGACGTTAGCTGCACTAGTCTGCTAGTTCCTGGTAGGACATTATCAACCAAACCCAAACATCTTGGAGGGGTGTGGTTATCAGCATTCGAGCATCTGATATTGTGGTATTAGATTTCTCTAATGTATTCAAAATTAGGTATATAATCAATTCTTTACTCTCCGTCTCTTTGGAGGTATTGGAGAGTGTCCCGATTGGAAAAAGCCAACGAAATGAACATCGTATATGCTCCTTTCACTGAAATCTCCCAGTATCTGAAT